AATGGAATTTTGTCCCAGTTTGAGATATAAGAGTTCAAAAGCTGAAAAAAGGTCAATTTCGAAATTTTTCAAGGTCAAATTTAAACTCACTTCAAATTGACAAAATCGTTTTTTGAAAATCATCTACAAGTTCTCAGGAGTTCACATCTGACCTCAGATTTGATATTTGTCCTTTAGTTGACCTTCAAATTGTCAAAAATGCCTAAGAGGGCCTCCGTGAGATTGCTTGCAATCTTCAAAAGTCTAGTTCTTATTCTTCTTATTCTTATTATTCTTTTTAGCACTTTTTCTCCTACTTCTAGCTAGGTCTGAATTAACTCTTATATGCTCCTACTAGGGACATGAGCTGGACTTGTCGGGAAATTAGTTCATATCTAGGTCAAGGTCAAAGGTCAAAATCAAGGTCAAATCTAAGTTTTTTTTAAGTTTCTCAGATTTCGTCCTCATACTTCATTATTTCTTGCGATGAATTAAAATATAACTAGATATAAGCATTCTCTACAAATTGCTCACTATATGTATGCGTTAATTTTTTACCGTTTTTGAGATATTTGACGTCAAAAATCGGCAAAAATCGGTCATTTTTCAACTTGCTTCAAATGAACCAGATTTTTTTTTAAAACTCATCTACAAGTTCTAAGGATTCCAAATCTGACCTTACTTTTGACCTTTGACCTTTGGTTGACCTCCAGTGACCTCCGAAAGGTCAAAAAAGTTGATTTTTCAACTCGATTTTCTGGATTCAAATTTAGGTATATTTATTCACAAAAGACCCACTGAGGTCTAAAAAAGAAAAATTTGCAAGGTCAAAGGTCAAGGTCATCAAACGAAATCACAAACTGTGTTTTCTAAGTTTCTCAAAATTGGAGACTACAAATCAATTTTTTTACTGAAAGTCAGAATATATATTCCTCTAAAGGTTCTACACATATTAGCAATTGACTATTTATTAAAATTTTGCTCCAGTTTTGAGATATTAGAACTGAAAAACTGAAAAAAGGTCAAATTTTGAAATTTCTCAAGGTCAAATTTCAACTTGCTCTAAATTGACCAAATTTTTTTTAAAAAGCATCTACAAGATCTCAGGAACTCAAATCTGACCTTAGTTTTGACCTATGACCTTTAGTTGACCTTCTGTGACCTTCGAAAGGTCAAAAAAGTTGATTTTTCAAATTGATTTTTTGGATTTAAATTTAGGTCAGCTTAATCACAAAGGACATACTGAGCTCTGAAAAAGTAAAATTTTCAAGGTCAAAGGTCAAGGTCATCAAATTAGATAACAAACTGTGCTATCTAAGTTTCTCAAAATTCGAGACTACAAATCAATATTTTTGGTTGAAAGTCAGGATATCTATTCCTCTAGAGGTACTTCACATATTAGCAATTGACTATCTATTAAAATTTTGCACCAATTTTGAGATATAAGAGCTCAAGAACTGAAAAAAGGTCAAATTTCGAAAATTTTGAAGGTCAAATTTCAACTTGCTTCAAATTGACCAAATATTTTTTTAAAAAGCATCTACAAAGTCTCAGGAGTTCAAATTTGACCTCAGATTTGACCTTTGACCTTTACTTGACCTTCTGTGACCTTCGAAAGGTAAAAAATGTTGATTTTTCAAAATGATTTTTTAGATTCAAATTTAGGTCAGCTTAATCACAAAGGACATACTGAGCTCTGAAAAAGTACAATTTTTAAGGTCAAAGGTCAAGGTCATCAAATTAGGTCACAAACTGTGCTATCTAAGTTTCTCAGAATTGAAGACTACAAATCAATATTTTTGGTTGAAAGTCAGGATATATATTCCTCTAGAGGTAATTCACATATTAGGAATTGACTATCTATTAAAATTTTGCACCAGTTTTGAGATATAAGAGCTCAAGGACTGAAAAAAAGTCAAATTTCGAAAATTTTCAATGTCAAATTTCAACTTGCTTCAAATTGACAAATTTTTTTTTTTAAAAAAGCGTCTACAAAGTCTCAGGAGTTCAAATCTGACCTCAAATTTGGCCTTTGACCTTTAGTTGACCTTCTGTGACCTTCGAAAGGTAAAAAACAGTTGATTTTTCAAATTGACTTTTTGGATTCAAATTTAAGTCCGCTTAATCACAAAAGACATACTGAGCTCTGAAAAAGTAAAATTTTCAAGGTCAAAGGTCAAGGTCGTCAAATTAGGTGACAAACTGTGGTATCTACGGGGCCTCCGTAAGATTGCTTGCAATCTTAGATCGTTAGATCTCTAGTTTATTCTTCCTCCCTCTTTTTCTCCTACTTCCGACTAACTTTCAACTAGCTACTACATAGTCCTACTAGGGACCTTAGCTGAACTTGGCGGGAAAGACCTTTATATCTAGGTCAAAGTCAAAGGTCAAAATCTAGGTCAAATCTAAGCTTTTTTTAAGTTTCTCAGATTTCGTCCTCATACTTCATTATTTCTTGCGATGAATTAAAATGTAACTAGATATAAGCATTCTCTACAAATTGCTCACTATATGTACGCGTTAATTTTTTACCGTTTTTGAGATATTTGACGTCAAAAATCGGTCATTTTTCAACTTGCTTCAAATGAACCAGATTTTTTTTTAAAAATCATCTACAAGATCTCAGGAACTCAAATATGTCCTTACTTTTGACCTCCGACCTTTGGTTGACCTTCGAAAGGTAAAAAAAGTTGTTTTTTCAAATTGATTTTCTGGATTCAAATTTAGGTATATTTGATCACAAAGGACCTACTGAGGTCTAAAAAAGTAAAATTTGCAAGGTCAAAGGTCAAGGTCATCAAACTAAATCACAAACTGTGTTTTCTAAGTTTCTCAAAATTGGAGACTACAAATCAATATTTTTTCATGAAAGTCAGGATATATATTCCTCTATAGGTTCTACACATATTAGCAATTGACTATTCATTAAAATTGTGTACCAGTTTTGAGATATTGGAACTCAAAAACTGAAAAAAGGTCAAATTTCGAAACTTTTCAAGACTAAATTTCAACTTGCTTCAAATTGACCAATTTTTTTTTAAAACTCATCTACAAGTTCTCAGGATTCCAAATCTAACCTTACTTTTGACCTTTGACCTTTGGTTGACCTTCAGTGACCTCCGAAAGGGCAAAAAAGTTGATTTTTCAAATCGATTTTCTGGATTCAAATTTAGGTATATTTATTCACAAAAGACCTTCTGAGGTCTAAAAAAGTAAAATTTGCAAGGTCAAAGGTCAAGGTCATCAAACGAAATCACAAACTGTGTTTTCTAAGTTTCTCAAAATTGGAGACTACAAATCAATATTTTTAAATGAAAGTCAGAATATATATTCTTCTACTGAAGGTTCTACACATATTAGCAATTGATTATCTATTAAAATTTGGCTCCAGTTTTGAGATATTATAGCTCAAAAACTGAAAAAAGGTCAAATTTTGGAATTTTTCAAGGTCAAATTTCAACTTGCATTAATTCGACCAAACCTTTTTTAAAAATCATCCACAAGTTGTCTGGAGTTCATATATGACCTTGTATTAGAGATTTGACCTTTGGCTGGCCTTTGAATGTTCAGAAACGAATATAGGGCCTCCGTAAGATTGCTTGCAATCTTAGATCGTTAGATCTCTAGTTCATTTTTCTGCTTCCAAAAGACCAAACAAATAGCCCATGGAAAACCATGGACTTTCAAAAGATCAAAAGAATAATCATGGAAAACCATGGCTTTTGATTGCACTTTCCAAAACATCAAAGAAATAACCATGGAAAAGCATGGCTTTCGATTGCAATCAACCGTCTTCCATGGCTTTTGATTGCAGTTTTCTCAACTTCAAAGAAAGAAACCATGGTTTTTGATTGTATTCTCAAATGTACGAAATGTAATTTAAAAAAATGAGTTATTTATTTCTTAAATTACTTCATATTGATTTTTAAAACTGAAAATTAAAGAAAGTATTGAAATAAAACAGAGCTTGGGCTAGTTTGACTTAATCTTTTTCAAAGGAAAGAAGTGTTTGGCCTAAAAAATAAGCAATCTCTATCTAGTCTTGATCTACACAAAAGACCTTTGCACAATTGTTTTTGAAATCTTGTGGCCTACTCTCTGCTCTGCTGTTTCACATATTTTCTCATTTGTAAGCTGAGTCTAACATTCGATGAATGTTCTTGCTATACCTTCAAAATGAAATGTCCACCCTTTTTTCTCAATGATAAGTCTCAGTCTAACTGGGATATATCATCAAAACATTCATTTTTGAGATTTTGGTAAATACAAATCCGACCAAAATTGTTGATTTTACATCTCCATGACACATCCATTAAAAACCAATTACCAAACCAACAATTACCACGGAAAATCATGGTAAATATCCATGGAAGATTACCATGGGTGTCCATGAATTTCCATGGAAAATAACATGGAAAACCATGAATTTCCATGGAAAACCATGGATTACCATGGGCGCACCATGGAATACCATGGTTACCATGGCTTTTTTCTTAAGGGCAGCTCTGAAAATATTTTTGCACAGAAAGTAATGATCACTTGTCTAGAAGTGATTTTTTGCTACTTTCCTATACTGTTATGGGCAAGGTTATAGAAGTTGAGAGTTGATGACATCACTTCCTGCAAGAAATCTTAAAAGATAGCAGCTCACTGGAAATAAGCACTAGATTTTTAAATGATCAATATTGGCCATATTAAAACATTTTCCCATGTTTTGCTAAATATGGAAACTATATATATGATTATAGCTACCATATCAAGAGAGAAAGGGTCTGGCAAGGAATATTCCTTTAATTCTACCATTGAATTTTAAATACTTTTCATTGAATGTGGAGAGGGGGAGGGTAAATAATCCATGAAACATCGAAGCATCCCAAATATTATTGACAAATATACTCATGTACAGAGTGACCCCAAAAAACAGAACTGGCAGTTGGCAGTTATTAATGATTACTATTTTAGAGGGTACTGTTTTTTGGGGTCACCCTGGTCTCTGAAAAATATCTTGTAAATGCTTCCAGGAGGATCAAGGTATATTGTCTACGGCACTGGATCAAACAGGATTGGTGGATTTGACATGGAAACTGATGAATACTATGATGAGAAGGTAATCACTTTTAACATTTAAAATGCCAAGATCTTGGGGACTGTTGTAAATCTATACCAGAAGTGACCCATTTATCTTATCTCAATGGCCATGGCACACTTTCACTCAATATTTATAAATCAAACTATACTTAGTATAACTATTCTTGTGTCATTGCATAAATCATTTGAAAGAATAAACGCTGATGTTCAATAAATAAACTACTTTGACAATGTACTTTTACTTTGTTTTCCATATGCGAATCCTGCATGTAATGACTTTTTTACACAAACACATCTGTGTAGGAACCAAAACTCATTTTCAATAATTTTTGTATTCATTTTTGATATGGATTTTTTCATGCTCCTCATCAGTTCAAAAATTGGTTTATTAATTTTTGCCATATTCTTAACGTTTTTCTTTATATATGAAAAGTACGGCTATCACGGCATTATATCTCGCCTGCCTTTCGTCCGTTCACCACATGAAAGTGAGTCGAATTTCGTCCAATTGCATACATCGAGATTTCTCCCTTGTACTAAAAGACAAGGTAGGTCTAATGCAGCTGCCATCTTTCAATAAAATGGCGAGTTCAGATATTTTTACCCCTGTTAGATAAACTCGTCGTCCTGTACTTGGAACCCTGACGTCACTCAAACACAGGGTTATGAGAAATTTTTTGATAAATTGACTGACCTGTCCTTCGATATTCATATAGATTTTTGAGTATTTCTGTTGCTAGTATGGAATGGATAAATACACGCTGCTATAAGACTCTGTGATACATTGATTTTGGACTGACGAGGAGCACGATCTGAATGTTTTAATTTGAGCAAAAAACTTTGTTCATGATTGTAGTGGCTGCAAAAGTTAATAAAATGCTATAAACAAGCCCTAAACCCCGAAGCCCTGGGAAACATACCCATACTAAACACAATTTTCCTATTACATGCCCATGGACTTTTTATTTTTATGTCCCTTTAATAGTATCTGCTAAAGAGGTTTAAGAGTATTAAATAAAATACATGTATTTTGGGGTTCTTTTACAAGGAGCTGGTGATTACACGCAGTAAACCAGAAGATACTGATGACAATGATGATCAGGAGGATGAGCAATTTGAGTGGGTTCTACTGAACCATGATGAGACAAAGATTGTTGTTTTTTCCTCCTATAACTTCACTATCCATGTTTTCTCATGGCCTGAGAGAGAGCAACTTATGGTCATAGAAGGTAAGAATATGTAGATTGATAATATAAGGGTTATGGTGAACTTGAAGATGATCTGGTGATTCATGGTCAAGTTGACCTGGAGGTAGAATGACATGGGGCTGAGTTGATTCAAGATCAAGTTGACCTGGAGTTAGAATGACATGGGGTTGAGTTAATTCATGGCCACATTGACCAGGAATTAAAATGATATGGGATAGAGTTGATTCAAGGTCAAGTTGACACAATTTTCAATTGACATGGGGTTGAGTTGATTCATGGTCACATTGAAATGGAGTTAGAATGCCATAGGATTGAGTTGATTCAGGGTTGAGTTGACATGGCGTTTGAATGACATGGGATTGAGTTGATGACTTGAAGTGATCTATAGGTTTGATAGCTTCAGTTTAATAAAATAAAAAGTAAACCATAATTTCATTTGACTTAAGACAAAAGTCTAATATATAAGATATTCTCTGGGATGGTAGTAATTCATACATAAAATTTTTGTGTAAAATGTCTGTACTTAAAGGCAATCTAATTTTAGATGACAACTTAGTAGATGGTGAGCCCCATCAAATAAAATGGATGCCTAATAATGTTAACCAGTACTACTCACCATCATCTGAAGAAATCTCAATCATTGATATATCCACTGGAACAGTGCAAATAATGGCCAAACATGCTTCCCCCATCAATGATGTTGCTATGGCAACAAGTAAACAAGCTGTTACCTTAGCGATGGATGGAAAGCTAAGGATATGGGACCTAACAAGAGTTGATCAAGAGCAACCTAAAGAAAATCAAATGGAGTGAGTTACTTGTTCTCAAATAAAGGTCAGCAGTAAATTTTGAAAATATTTTTGCTTTGTAATTATGTGAGTTTATACTTTACTTTAACATTCAAAATGTTTTAATGCTTTAGGAAATATCACTTTTATTTCAATAAAATGATGAATAACACTTAAATCAACTTTGTAACTTTGTGCTTATGATGAGTATTTGAACTTAATATATATACAAACCTTGAATATACATGTACAGTAGAACCTGTTAAGTGGAACATCTCTGTAAGTGGAACACCTCGCAAGTGGAACGCTTTTTCAAAGTCCAATTTTAAAAACCCATTGACTTAATGTTAATTGAACCTCTGTAAGTGGAACACCTCCAAACTTGAACGGTGAACACCCCATATTGAAAAATTAACCTGCTAAGTGGAACAGTCAATTTTTTATAAATTTCAATAGTGATACTAATGTAAACAAAATTAAACTCCAACAATGATACCTGGGTATGAAAACAGGTAATAACGTGATATTGGCAAATTAGGATTTTAATGGATTACCATATAGTCAATTGGATTAACCTCCTGTAGAGATCAACATGTGATGCTACCACTAATTAATTTGATAATAAGCAAATTAGAATTTCATAGGATTATCATTAAGTAAATTGGATTAAGAGATGGACATGTGATGCTCTTGCCTCTTACCCCTTGCTGTTTGTTTCATACTTAATAAGTAAGCTTAAGAATGTCAGTTAAAAACAAATGAATTATTAGCATTAGGAACAAGTCTTTAAAACTTAATTGCCTTATCTTAGTGTTTGAGACTGGCAGAATGAGGAGGATTGAGAATGTCAGAAAACATTTTTGGCAGAATGAGGAGGATTGAGAATGTCAGAAAACATTTTTAGCAGAATGAGGAGGATTAAGAATGTCAGAAAATATTTTTGGCAGAATGAGCAGGATTAAGAATGTCAGAAAACATTTTTGGCAGAATGAGGAGGATTAAGAATGTCAGATACCTTTTTGAGTAAAACAAATGAATAATTAATGCTATATTGCTGCCCTGCAATGATCGGAGAATCTTATTTCAGTGATACATATCAACTCTATATTTAATCTTGTATGTTTGTTAAATCCCCGCGAACCTAAAACCTCCGTAAGTGGAACACCTCCTAAGTGGAACGCTTTTTGGCAGAACGGAGGGTGTTCCACTTACACAGGTTCTACTGTATATTATGTGTTTTCATAACTAATATGACATTTTTTAGCCCATATCTGTAACCATTATGTCTTTAATTTCAGAGAGGGAACTGCAAGTACCAAAAGGCTGTTTCCAATTGTAGGTAATGATAGGTACATAGCATGTACATACTCCGCAAACTATGGAAACAAGAATCCTCGCAATGGCACCCAGATAGCGGTATATGACCTTATGGATGATAAAATGGCCAGGCGCATACAAGTATGTATTTCTTTAGTAATATTGATTTTTTAATCGACTGGATACAAGTTGAAAAAAATTTCATGATTCCAATATTAACATAAAAATGTGGTTTCATGGATTTTATCAACAAAGAAAGGAGTGGTATCGATATGGAGAACTGAATTAAATGAATTAAACAGTGTTTTTCTCTTAAACCAATTATTGAAAACATTCTGTAAAAAACACGGTATTTTATGTAATGTTGACTGATTGACAACAATTTATTGCAAAAATTATTTAGAAATATTTTATATAACTGTTTTTGTTAACATTTTTTGTTTTTTTAGTGCAATTGTTTTTGCTCCTTTCTACCAATTCTTGAGAATGAAATAAAATGTCTTTCCGAACCTTGTTGGAACAAAATAGCATATACAACATGTTTTTAGACCTCTCAATATTATAGTAATACAAAGGATTTTTTGGTTGATTTAAAAAAGTATTCATAAAATTAAAACAAAATCACCCCAAAATAGATAAAAATCAAGATAAACCTTTTATTTCATTAACAAGATACTTTTTTAAAATCAACCAAAATTTCCTTTGTACAATTACAATATTGAGAGACCTAAACATGTTGTGTTTATGTCGTTTTGTTCCAATGAGGTTTGGAAAGATGTTTCATTTCACTCTGGAAACGTGATACCAAGAACAAAACAAGTGTTTGATGTGTTTTCTAAAACAATATAGATGAAAGTATATTTATTTTTCAAATTATATTGTTACCATTCAAAAGATGACCATTAATTTGACGATGTGTTAAATATTTAGATTTTTTTTATGACTGGTTAAAGAGAAACGTGTGTTCAAAAAGTTCTCCATATCGATACCACTACTTTACATATTTCTAGGTGAAGTATAGTCTCACTAAGCCATTGCACAATAGGGACTTGTAGCTAGACTGGGTCAGGTAGTTTACCCATTAGAGCTGTTCCTAAACTTATGAAAGCAAAAAGATGAAATACATACACTTTTATTAGACTCCAGATGAAATCTGGAGTCTATTGTTTTCGTCAGTTTTCTTCTTCTTCTTCTTCTTTTTCTAAACCAGTTTCCTCAATAACCATAAGGTCTTCAGTAAAGTCAATCATTTGGTCAATTTAGGTTCAGTATCTAGTTCCTCGGAAATTGGGTCAAATTTCTATCTAGGTCAAAGGTCAAGAACTAGGTCAAATCCAGTACTTTGTCACTTTTTTCGATTTTCTCGGTCGTCCTTCAATATTTTCGATCCGGGTTTTTTTCATTGTGTTCCTCATAAAAAAGTGGGAAACCCAGGGTCATTTAGTTTTTTGATATCTCAAACCGATTTCGAGATATCATTGTCCGAAAACGAGGTCCAAAAAAAAGTTCTCCGAATCAAATGTCCAGGATATTATTCTTGTAGGAAATTTTCTCAGGATTCCGAATCTGAAAACCAAATTCGAATCAGACTTCCGGTTCGGAAGTTGTGGCGTTTTCAAAGCTCAAAAGTCGCTAAATTTGGTGCCCATGTTAAGTCAATGGGAAAAAAGATTTTTTTGAAGTGAAAAATACGAAATATAGACTGAGTTCAGCTAAATATAATGAAAGCTTTTAAAAGAATGGGACCTCAAAAGTTATCTAGCTTTAAAATTTGGACATCAAAATGCCTAGGTCAAAATCTAGGTCAAATTCAAAGTTTCTTCTTATTTTTGCGATTCTGACACTACAGATTAATTAAATTCTTCGAAATTTTGTATACATGTAGCCAAGAGTGTGCTAATAGTGTTAGCCTTTTGCCGTCAGAAAGTATTTTGCCCCACTTTTGAGATATGGTGTCCGAAAAGTAGGTCAAAATAAAAAATCTCCAAATTTGACGTTTGAGTTATGAATTAAGTATAAAATTTTCTCAGGAGTCCGAATCTGCAAACCAAATTTCAATCCGACTTCTGGTTCGGAATTTATGACATTTTGAAAGCTCAAAAATCGCTAAATTTGGTGCCACATGTTATGTCAATGAGAAAAAAGATTTTTTTGAAGTGTAAAATACAAGATATAGACTAATTACAGCTTAAATTAATGAAAGCCTATGAAAGAAGGGAACTTCGAAGGCTACCTAATTTCAAAATTTGGACACCAAAATCCCTAGGTCAAAATCTAGGTCAAATTCATAGTTAATCCTTATTTTTGCGATTCTGACACTACACTTTAATTATATTCCTCGAAATTGTGTATACATGTAGCCAAGAGTGTGCTAATAGCGAAAGCCTTTTGCCTCCAGAAAGTATTTTGACCCACTTTTGAGATATGGTGTTCGAAATGTAGGTCAAAATAAAAAGTTCTCCAAATTTAACGTTTGAGTTATGAATTAAGAATTGAATTTTCTCAGAAAACCAAATCTGCTTACCAAATTTCGATTCGACTTCCGGTTCCGAAGTTATGGCGTGTCCGAAAAGTAGGTCAAAATAAAAATTCGCCAAATTTAACGTATGAGTTATGAATTAGGGGTAGAAAATTGTCAGGAATCCGAATCTGCAAATCAAATTTCGATCCGACTTCCGGTTCGGAAGGAAATTTCAAGAAAAATCGATCTGATGGTATCCTGGTAGAAAGTCAAGAGTAGAGAAGAAAATATTGAAAAATGCATCCATCCTTCCTTTCTGATCCTATCCTATCTTTCCTATCTACCCTTGCTTCGTATCCTCTCCTTCCTATCCTTCCTATTCTATCCCTTCTTCCTATTCTATTCTATCCTTCTTTCCTATTCTATCCTATCGTTCCTTCCTATTCTATCGTATCCTTCCTTCCTTTTTCATCCATCCATCCATCTTTTTCTGGATGACTTAGCTTATTTTGGATGACTTGGCTTATTCTGGATGACTCGGCTAAAAAAAGTCTAGATCTGGAGTCTGAAATTGAACTCGTTCAATTTCCAAAATCTAGTTATTTTACAGCTTGTACATGAAGGCAGACCAATCTCTAAATACATAGACGATTTGAAATTCATTGATTCAACCCATGCCGTGTGTAGACTTCAAGAACCATCTAAAAAATGTGACGTGTTAGTCTTGTGTGACATGGAGGCATCAACTATTGTACACATGTTTGATGTTCATTTGAATGACACCTGGAATGACTTCTGGTTGGTGAATGACAACAAAGGTATACAGCCATAAATAGTCGAGAAATACCGGAAATGTCAGAATTTTTTTGCATTAAACCACCCATTATGTCACGCAGTAGCTTCGACATTTAATTTGAATTTTGAATTTTACTTCTCAATGAGACATATACTGAAGATAATGTTTTCCACAAGAACGGTAATAAAACATAATAAACAATTTCTTTTAATGAGGAAAATAATGGATTTGACTTCTTTTAAACCAATTGAAAGAGAATGATTCAAAGGTCAATTTTGCATGCATACATCATGTGTTGATTTTACATACATGGTAATACCTTGTGTCAAATAACACTATTAAACTTAATCTTAAATGTTTAACTTTTCAGAAGTTTTATGCATGTCTCCATCCCGCCATTACATTAGAATCTTGGATATTGCCACAGGATGCGCTGTACATAATATAGCTGTGAATTCTGATATTGAGGGCTCGGTTATTGAAGATGATATGCCGGTAAGTAAAGCTTTCACAACCTATCAAAATATTGTTGAATCCTTTAATTTATGTTTTTCTTTAATCAGATTAGTCTTTAATATAAAGTTAAACTTACATTTTTGCATTTAATTTCTGATGTTTTTTTTCAGATAAGCCCTGATAATACCTTAATTGCCTTAAGACCAATAGATAGAAAGTCAGAAGATCCGAAGAAATTTGAACTTCACATCTACGATATACCTTCACGGAAAAAAGTAACAGTTTTCACCAGGGAATCTTCAGGTGAAAAATAAGTTTTGAAGTAAAAGTAAATCTTGAGATTTGTCAGTAGAAAGAAGTATAAAAATATAATGTGTTCATCTTATACAGATGGATTGATATGAAAATTTATCAGTTCAAAATTTTTACATAACCACAATTCAAAAAATACATATCCTTTTCCTTCAGTATCCATGCATAATACAACGTAGAAGTAATGTACACCGTCTCCATAAGTTTGGCAACTACATGTAGAAGTCCCCATTTGAAACATGTGAAAAGCCTGTTTATATTTGATATTTATTTTGTTCCTCAAATCAATAAGTAGGACATTCATGACTTTGATGAGTTTTTTAAATCAGCAAATTAAAATGCTTTAACATGTGGCCAGAAAAGTTGCCAAACTTTTTGAAGGGGAGTGTACATTTTTACAGATTCTATTTTAACAGGGCTTGACAGTATGGTAGAGGAAGAAAATAAGAATGATGATTTGACAAGGATCTATATGCATATGTCCAAATTTACAAAAGACAACAGGTTCATCATAATAGTTATGAAACATGGGTTCAATTTGAATATCAATGAGGAACAGCAATACATGGATGAATCGGTGCCACATGTGGTTGATATAAAATCAGGTGAGACAATTAAGTATTTAAGCTCGGAACTCAATGCTATGTACAAGTTTATTGTGCTAGTTTTTAACTTTCAAATATTAATTAAGGCTGTTAATTGTCCCATTTCTTAGATATTCAATTGTATGTACTGTATTACCCTATAATGTGTTATTTTTCATATTGCTATTACCAATGGTATATACATTATATACATGGATTTTATACCTTATATATAGGATTATAAAGAGGTACGTCTGATTACCCATATGTCTTGCAGGGAAACTGTTACATAACATGGCTGATGTTGATTATGCAGTGAAGTACCATAAAGAGAATGGCAAATTCAGGTTCCCTGGAATTGGTACAGATGAAATATTGGCTCTTTATGGCAGCATTGTACTTATATCATGTAATGATATAATGAGAATTTATGATGCTAGTTCAGGTATGTATCATGGGAAATGTTTCTTCTGAAATTATGTACTCTCGGGTTTGGTCTTCAAAGCCCAGGTACAGTATACTCAAAACAGCTTGATTTGGGCACTTTATGTCTAAATTCTGTGTTCTAAGAATTTATACTATGCAAACTTTAAATCTGAAAAATACATGTATTCAAACTTGAATATGTTGGCATTATGTTTATGTGTTTATAGGAACCTTGCTACATAGACTGTTTGGACATGAGGGCACTCAACCTTTCTTCCGAGATCGTATAGATTCTAACACTTTTGTCACAATAGAGAATGACGAGGACAAAAAATTGATTGTGTGGGATGGCCGATCAGGAAAACTCTTGGCTTCTTTTAGCACTGATGATGATGTAAGTTCATCTTTTTGGGTCTCAAATTGAGAAATTATGGGATGTAAACAAAAAGCGAGACCCTCTTTCTCTTGTACAAAGTTAATACTGCAACAGATTGTTGTGTGAGAAAAGGGGCACTGAGTCCTTTATCATATTTTAGTGCAGTGAGAAATATGTCACAACAGTCAATGGCGTAGCGTCATATACGCATAAAACGCCATGGCGTACTCTCAAAATTTAGAGAAAAGTTGATTTTTAGATTGAATTGCCTCACACTTTAAAAATGGATAAAATGACCAATAATTTAAATGTCATTAGTCCATTTCGTCGGAATTTCGTATTTTAAAACGCTCCAGAACGCTTCAACTGCAACATTATTTTCAATTTTTCTTGGGGGAGGACCCACCCTCGAACCCCCCTCAAAGATCGTTCGATTCGCTCCCTCATGGCGTACACTCAAAAATACCCACGCTACGCCACTGACAGTAATGCATTCCCTCTGCTTGTACCAATGTGTCCTCACTTCCAATGGTAAAGGTATTTTCATATCTAAAGTGACCAATATTAACTTAAGCCCTGGATGCAGTTCCATTAATATCAGCATAATTCTACAAAATATCATACATTATCAAAAGGATGTCACTTTGTGGACCTTAATTTAACATTCATTCATTAGTGCTGATTAATTGAACAAAATTAGGACACAAACATAAACACAGTCTTTAACATGGTATCCAATGGAGACTTTCTGTTGCCAAACTTATGGAGGGGAGTGTATATTATCACAACATTTTTCATTTCAGCTGTATTACTCCTATGTCCAATCTAGACATATAGATGGCAGCATTGTGTTTACTGTGTCAGGGTTAGATTCGGACAAGATAGGAACATTCCGCACACTGACCTTTAAGAATTGCCCTGAAGGTCAGCTGCTTCCCTACACACCCAATTACGACGAGGTTTTTAAAGGCACAAGTAAGTAAAATAGTGTAATAATGTCACCATCAGAGGTGGTGACATATTGTTATAGTCTCCAGCTTTTGTTGTGGCTGGTGTTCGGTGGTTGGCGTCTGTAACAAGTGGCAGCTGGTGAAATTAACATGTTAACGTCTTGTATTTTATTTTTATGTGAAAGATATATTTAAGTAATATACAAGTATACATTAGGCACTCAATATTCAAGATCTAACTGACTTGTTTTGTAACAATATTATACGAATGTATTGAAAACACCAAAATGAAACTTCCTTTTTGAATTGATCAAGTACATTTTCTTTCTTAGTAGATTTTGGAATCATTTTACAAACCCTGTACTTCTACTGTAAATATCTGTTGTCAAATCTGTAGTTTGGGTGATTGTATTTTATCATGTAATGGATTGGTGGCTCAATCATTTAAAATGATAACTCTGTTCCAGAGTTGGATCTGCAGCTAGATATAAGCACGCTATCTTATGATAATATCAAAGATGATTTTGAAGACCCTAAAAAATATGAAGACGATTATGAGGATGATGATGACAATGATTACAATGATGATGATGAGGAAGATAGTGATCTGAACTGAACGATGCTTTTTCCACTTGTATGAGGTGATCTGAAGTTAACAATGGTGATGAAAATGACACCACACAATGGAGTTTTGAACCAAACAATGGTGACCTTTATTGAACAATATTGAACTGAATGGAACAATGGTGATGAAAATGACACCACACAATGGAGTTTTGAATCAAACAATGGTGACCTTTATTGAACAATGTTGAACTGAATGGAACAATGGTGATGAAAATGACACCACATAATGGAGTTTTGAATCAAACAATGGTGACCTTTATTGAACAATGTTGAACTGAATGGAACAATGGTGATGAAAATGACACCACATAATGGAGTTTTGAATCAAACAATGGTGACCTTTATTGAACAATGTTGAACTGAATGGAACAATGGTGATGAAAATGACACCACATAATGGAGTTTTGAATCAAACAATGGTGACCTTTATTGAACAATGTTGAACTGAATGGAACAATGGTGATGAAAATGACACCACCTAATGGAGTTTTGAATCAAACAATGGTGAGCTTTATTGAACAATACTGAACTGAATGGAACAATGGTGATTTTACTTGAGCAATGGCGATTCGTGATAATGAATATCTGAATAACAATGAGTTCAACCTTCTTTGCAAATTATTGTGGTTAACAGATAGTTTTATTTACAGCTTTACTGTAATTGTAAGGACACAGGGTAGCCTGTGCTAGAAACATTCCATTTCGATTCCATACATTGCTCTTTCATGAACAAATGCCTTGTTATCATAAATATCAGTTTTTATGAATACTTCTCGCTGAGAAATACAGCCCTCTTGTACAAGTTCTAATGCTTTGCGTGTGTATATTTCAACATTGCAGTAATTCTCTTTTTTGACAAACCATACAATGAAAGACAAGACTATGTGTTGCATTTTAATTGTTTATTATAATAAATAAATTTGTATTTATACATATAATTGATTTAAATGAAATCAGTACGAGGCACCTGAATACAATAATATCACAAGATGGCACCATCTGATAGTGCATCTAGACATTTTAGTATTGACATTAAGTTAAGTAAGTTTTGGTAAGACCAAACATGCATCTAATGAGAAAATGTGCATTAATCAATAACATTGCATATTTTATTAACAGGTATCAACTTATACAGTGTTGCATAATTCTTGTAAAAATGCTAGTTTAGTAGAATAAAATAGACTTTTGTAGATATATTTTTGTAAAATATAGCTGTTCGAGATATATCGGTTTTTCATTATATGTTGTACAATGTTGACCCAGATTTATACAATCTCAGGATGATTTAATCACATCTTGCTTTTGCAATTCTTATAGTCCTAAGTGTACATATACTGTACCTTATTTGTATTTACATTTTTGTACATGTGTATACAATTTTAATAATAATATTTACATTAACTGGTTTCATAGAGTATACACATTTGTAATAAATTTGTGTTATTAAAACTAGTCTTTAGTATTTATGAGCAATATTAAAATACTGTAAAAAAAGTACATGTTTGAGCTTACAGTTATTAGGTACATGTACAGGTACATGCATTCTACTACTACTCCCTATAAGGCATTATCCTATTCAGTGGGGCCAATCCTGCTTTGATCCAGACCAGCCTAGATCCAGTCTAATTAATTAATGGATCTTATTGATTATAATTGTTAATTGTACTTGAGAACTTCTAATGACAAATATATATTATATGATAAAATCAAACAAATTACATCTTAATCCATCAGTGGTATTCCATACCCCAATTGATGAACATTGCTGATTCCTCGACTTATTCCCCACCAATCAATTTATATGCATGTACTTTATTGTAGTTATTTGGTCCCATCTATTACCTACAATATGGTAAGATCAACATGGACAAGGTTTCTATTTGGGCGCAAATTGCTGATTGTCACTTCTGACAGCCATCTTGGAATAAACAAACATTTAAATTTTAACAATTCCCTAACTAGCTACACCGTACTAACAATTCCTGACCAAGCAGGCAATCTGTAATTATATTCAGCATAATAAATGTTGTTGTTCTCAAGATTGGCTAACTGAATTAAAAGTCCTTGCATTGCATTCAGCTCTATGTCACCTTACTCCATTGTTCTTGTTTGATATGAAAACAAAGTAAGGTGACGGATTGCTTTGGCACATTTACTATGGTACGAGTTGCTTGTCATATTAATGTATTCTTAATTTGTCTCTTTACTGCACATGTGATTTGTCATAATTGAACCTGCATCTTATCACAGCATTGTAATAATATCCTGTCACAATATACTACTCCTTGTATCTTGTCACATTATCATATTAGCTGTTTGTCACTGTACTAGTATCTTGTCACATTAGTGTCATAGTATCTTGTCATGTTATTGCTCTAGTGTCTTGTCACCACATTATAGCCATAGTAGCTTGTCAAAGTATTGCTCTAGTTGCTTATCATAATATTGTACTAGTTTTCTGTCACATTAATGGCCATGAAACATTCTAATAGTTTTTTGTTAAGCTTTCTCTTACAAGCCTTCTTAATCAATCAATTAGACAATTTCATCGAAGCAAACATGTAAGTTGAAATCTGGTTATTTAGTAGGTGTCTGACACCAATAAACTTGATTCAGTATTTTGTTTGGAAAAGCCTATCTACATGTATGTATGGCATCAAGTTGGCAATTCTACTCCTAGGCACAGGTTATTCTCTCCAATTTCAGAAGTCATGTTGAGAATGAAACCATTGTCCTTTCTCACTAATGTAAATGCTTTTTGAGTGACCTGGAAACAAAAAGATATAATTAAATGAAGCAAAACCTCAGGGATGAGTATGTGGAGCTCATTTCATATCATTCAAAGGTCAAATATGAAATACAATTGCTGATTTGGACTTGTGAGACTTATGTACATGTTTATGTGAAAGTATATGTTCATGTGAAAGTACATATTTATGTGAAACTGGAGTCCTATTTTACTCAACATTTTGATTGAGTGACACTTATGACAAATTAGGTTATAACACTACAATTCTTTTTAATTTTCAATTTCTTGAGATAACAAAAATGCAATACAATATATCAGCACCTGGATCACTTGCAGACTTGCCAACCTCCAGTTTTTTTACGGGAATCTCCCGTAAATTTTTTGTTTTTCCGTAAAAAATACCAAACTCCCGTACCGTTTTCTCCCGTACAAACTCCCGTACCGTATTTCTACTAAAATCTCCCGTTATTTTTTATAAAAATATGACTGTAAAATCTCCCGTATTTTTGATGAAATGTCCCGTAAAATCTTCCGTATTCTGGTATAACTCCCGTAAAATCTCCCGTATTCTTGGTATAACTCTCGTAAAATCTCCCATTTTCTTGTATAACTCCCGTAAAACCTCCCGTATTCTTGGTATAACTCCCGTAAAATTTTTGCTGTCGAAATCTACCGTATTTAAAAGGAATTTGACAAATTTGTGACCTTGATTATTGCAGGCACGCTTCTTTCTTTTACTCCAAGAAGGATTGGCTCCCATGGTTTACTATCGATACTTTCATAAATAACTTAAAAGTACTTCATTCCCATGATTCAAATTGCTTTTCTGCAATCAATTCGGTATAAGTTTGCACACCAAATGTCCACAAACGGGGGCCAGTTCATATTCTGTCATACTTCTGTCGGGAGAATACATTTTGTTTTTATATGGCGCTGAACAAAATATTCCCGCAATATAAGGCGCATTATGGGAAAGGAACTGCTGTGAAATAATGAACGTAAGTGATATCTATCTTACCCCCCTATCACACCAAACTAGTTCTTACCCGTTCTTGCCAGTCCTACGAAAACGTCGTCAAACGGGCTCAATCTGGCTGTGGTCGGGAAATATGTCTGAAATAATTAGCTTCTTCTTCTTAAACAGTCTTCAATACGTCCATCTCGTTCGCAGTTCGTTCAGGTCGCGCCACGTCGGAGTGCAACGTCGTAGAACGCGTCCCTTAGTCTAGAAGGTCAACATGACCTGATTACAGAACGGTATTGTCGTCGTCGAATTTTGAATCGATTCAAAATTCTAAAATCACATTCCCGTCTGAGAACGTTCATAAAGTTCGTAAATAGACCTTAGAAAGTTGCAGCTACGTTCATTCTGTTCGCACACAGTTTAAAACCAGTTTTGAAGAACGCAGTGGCAACTTGTTTGGTGTGATAGCTATATTTTTGCTAACTCGTTCATAAGCAGTGTTAAATACGTTCTTAATCAGTTTAAACCCGTTTGCGATTAGTTCTACCTCGTTCTCAACACGTCCGCAGACAGTTCAACTCGTTGTTAAAACGTCCCTAGTAGGATTGAAGTACGACGGTTCCGTTCGTAGTACGTCCAGCTCGTCGTTAGTACGTTGTCACTCGTTCTAATTGTAGAACGTGACGACCAAAAGAACATTTTGAGCATTGTCTAAGTTCTAGAGGACCTACCCGTTCGAGTACGTTCGATGAAGTTTGTAAATAGATCCCAAACGGTTCTTAGTAGGTCCAGTCCGTTCGTATACAGTTCAAGCCCGTTTTCGAGAACGCAGTGAGAACTAGTTTGGTGTGATAGTAGGGTAAGACAATAATTTCAACCAATTAAATCGCTGGATTTAATGCTCATGCGCGAAAAACCGAACCTAAAAATGGAACCTCACGCAGATTGCCCTTAGCATATAGTGAACGCCACATATACATTTTACTTAGCTTTGATCAATTCGTTTCCAAAGTAATAAAATGTTGTATCTATAATCTAAACAGATCATATTAATCATCTACCGTAAAAACTTCTGTTTTTCCAAAAATCTACCGTAAAAACTCCAACTTTTTCAAAATCTTCTGTAAAAAATCCAGTTTTTCAGAAATCTACCATAAAAACTCCCATTTTTCAGAAATCTACCATAAAAACTCCCGTTTTTTCAAAATCTACCGTAAAAAGTCACCTTTTTTTAAGAAATCTACCGTAAAAACTCATGTTTCTTCAAAATTGACCCTTAAAACTCCAGGTTTTCAAAATCTACCGTAAAAACTCCAGTATTTTCAGAAATCGACCGTAAAAACTCACTTTTTTTAAGAAATCTACCGTAAAAACTCATGTTTCTTCAAAATTGACCCTAAAAACTCCAGGTTTTCAGAAATCGACCGTAAAAACTCCAGTTTTTTCAGAAATCTACCGTAAAAACTACCAGATTTAAAAAAAAACTCCCATAAAAGTACTGCAATTTTTTTTAAATCTCCCGAAAATTTTTCATTTTAGGTTTACAATTCTGCACTTGGCTCACAAGGGTAGTGACAGCCATTTGAAATTGCAAGAAATCCCGATAGAATGTTTATAACATAAAAGCTGAAAATATTTGGAGCAATTAATGCTGCTAGAATACATTGAGAAGAACATTACCTGATCCTTAACTGCTTCATATAATGCACTGCACAATGTACTAGGTTGGTGGTACCTTGAGTAGATAAGGCTCCCTGAAGAGTCCAGTATGTTCACTTGGGCATCAGGCTTTAGCTCTGCAATGAGAGATTTTATAAAAAAATTCTCATATTGGTGATCGAAAAAAAGCTGAGTTCAAAGTTGATTTAAAGAATTGAATGAACTCCTGATTGATACCAATCTGTCCACAGTAGGGTCACTTCATGTAACAAACATGTATCTCTAAAGGAGTAAATCCAAATGTTTACTCTATTGGTAGTGGATTATTTGGTCCATTGAGTACTATGATTTATAGCAACATACATGTATTTTTGTCAATTATTTTGGTAAGAGTCAATTGCTTAACTTATTACATTGGCATCTCTTTATGTTAAACATCTAATTGAATCTGTAGCACTTGCTTTGAGTTTCATGTTTAGAGCTACTTACAAAAAACTTAGTTTTGGTCTCACATGTTACAAGTTGACATAATGTTTAAAGGTAATCGTAAGAAATGAGTGGAAATGACTTGAGAGGTTATACAAGGGCCTATCAAAAAGTTTCTTACCGTTGGCTCTCAATTTTATAATAAGAGGAGTTGGAAGCTCAAACTTTAACATGAGACAGGATAGTTAGTTTGCTTGAAACTCTACGAGTTTCATATAAATTGGTTTATTGGTAGTGACACAGAGTCAATTCAAACTTTCAATGACAAAGTTAGGTGGAGCAGCGTTTTTTATATAAAATATCTGCTGAGTTGTGGTTCTGGAAATTTACCGACATCGTTTCAAACCTCTCATAGGAAGGCCTTAAACATGTGTTTTTGGATCGAGTGGACAGATATGGAAGTGTATTGCAACTGGGGTCAAGTATTTTGAATGAGAATGAATATAAGCAGAAACAAATTAAACATGATTAAACTACAGTCTGTTGACAGATGACACTACTTAGTGTTAGAAATTTCCAAAACTCCAGCTAAGCACAATTTTTTCATAAAAACGCTGCTCCACCTAATTCAGTCATTGGAAATATGTATTGACTCTGTGTCACTACCAATAAACCAATTTATATGAAACTCAGACAGTCTCAAGCAAACTAATTACCCTGTCTCATGTAAACATTTGAGCACCCAACTCCTCTTATTATAAAATCTAGAGCCATCGGTAAGAAACTTTTTGATCGATTTGATGTTATTTTTATATATTTATTTTTCAAAACACTTTGATTTCAATTTTTCAATGCTTTGAAGTCCTGAACCTGGATTCTAGGATATCTATAAACAGCTACTTTATGTGTACTAAAAACACATCGTGCAAAACTGAATTTTATCCTCTCAAACAAGTACAAACAAGGTAGCAACATGCAAAATGTCACCACCTGTCATTTGTTACAGATGCCAACTGCCAAATTACAGGTGAAGATTTACCTTGAGAACTGGTAGGACTCTCAGATGGTGGAGAGGGAAGCTGAAGATTGTTAATATCAACCACATCCACTGGAAGTAGATGATCCACATCATCTTCTGCTTCAATCTGGGGTGCTGGAGGCAAAATAACATTAGTTAATGCTACATGTGCAGAAACTTAGGTTCATGGGACAATTTTTCCAAATACATAATTGTAATGTTATGGTTTAAAAATTCAACATTTTCTCAGAATTTTAGTTTTAAATACATCTTGAATTGCAGATATCTAACACATGTTTAGATAAATGGACTTTCAAAATGGGTGAAATAAAGATCAATTAGATAAAAAAAAATCAATCAAATGGCTAATAAAATACTGTATATGATGTTTTACTTGATAAAGACTAGGACTCTACCTGTAGGTGTTTTCTGTAGTTCTTTCAATATACTACTTGCTCTCTTATAGACAGCAGATGCATCAGGACGGTCTTCAGGATTAGGTGTTAGCATCCACTGTAACAAACCCTTCAATTCTATACTGGTACGTGTGGGAATCTCAGCTTGGGCCAACAAAGGTGTAGTACCCACCTGCAATATATAATCTCTGTCGTTCATTTATCAGGGAGGGACACTGTCATCATATGTCAATTTATGAACCTTAAAGGGTTGTGTAAAGCTTCCAATATGGGGGCTTCAAACGATTCTACTTGATCAGTCTATTTTTATAACCTAAAAACTAATAGTATAACAGTACGATTCAGTAAAAAGCCATGCATAAAAGATATACATGTACTCGTAGATAAAAGTAATTAAAGGAGTTTGGTAAATTGAGTAAATTGGAAAATAAGCTGATTGGAAGAGAGACTCAAATAAAGTATGGTCATGATGGAATAAAGGACCCCTTTTCTCATAACTATACTGTAGGTTCAATGATCAGACCTATTTTCACAAGGCAATAAATAAAACATTACCCTGTATCTAATTGAAATTTCTTCCAAGTTCCTAAATGGACGCTCTCCTTTCAATAGTGCAATGACTGTCATTGCTAGACTCCAAATGTCACATTTGCAACTCATGCCTGAATAAAAAAAAACATTTATCAATTTAATTGCTAGACTTAAAATGTCATATTTGACAGGCATTGCTAGACTCTGGATCTCACATTTTACAGTTATTACTAGACTATGGATGTCACATTTGAAAATTATTGCTAGTCCATTCATTTTTAGACTCCAGATGTCACACTTGACATTCATTGCTAGATGTTGGATGTCACATGTGAAAGCCATTGCTGTGGACTTCAGATCACACTTGACATGTCACATTTGATTTGACTGCCATTGCTAGACTCAATATTTCACATTTGATTTGTCTTTCAATGCTAAACTATGGATGTCAAACTTGCAAGACTTAAATGTAAAACTTTGAAGATGCAAAAAAATATTAAATAAACAAGGGGAAATAAAGAACTTTTGATGGTTAATTAAGGTTAGACTTCAAATCAATATAAACTTAAGAAAAACACAGCTAGGCTATCAGGTCCAAAATATCTCTTCCCTATGTAATAATCAATCTCAAACAAGTCAAATGCAAACTATAAATTGTTTGAGATCATTTGGCACTGGCTAAGGCATCAAAACATCCTAACTGTTAATGTCTTTATAAAAGCTTTTGTCATTGAGGACTGGTATAGATGAGATTCAAAGATGGGTGATTTCCTGACAACTATGTTCAGGTGTTTCAAGGATGATGAAATTATATCTAAAAGGCTTTGTATAAAAAACCTCCTACCTCATACCCACCTACCCACCTACGTGGAACATGATACAGTCATTGAAGGGTTCGATTTTAAAGATTATAAATCTCAAAATAGCTCAAATTATTAACATTTCTACACTTCCGGCTTTATTTTATGACTAGACAGATGACAGATCCATAAATAAAGGCATATGGATGCATTAATGTGTAATGACATGAGGGCGCCCCAGGGAATAAACTCAGTAATGACCGCGAGCATAGGTCCAACAAGCCAGATAAAGAAATTGAAAGAAAGTGTGCTAAATTCGATACCCCGAGGGAATCAAACCCACCTGGGATGAAGTAGCAACTTGCTATCAAGGGTCGTTACAAATACATCTACAGGGTGGGCCAAAAAAACCAATACCCAACTTCAAATCAGGATAAAAATAGTTACATTCAATATGGTACATTGACTTACATATCATTTTAAAGGTTATACAATTTCAAACAGTTTGGTATATTACACTATGCCATGAAATCAATAGTAAAGTTTTTTTATACTTATTTGGGAGGCCGGGTCGCTATTTCAGGTTTCCAGATTTAAGGGAGAAAATAGCAAATCTGCGGAATTATGTTAATTTTTTATTTATAGAATATCATTCTTTTGTTGGTTGAATGCATGCTTGGATATTGATATTTTCATCATTGTGTGACTAAATTTATTGTTTATGAATTTCAGTGTTGTTTAATAACATTTTACACTTAATTTATTTAAACAATTTTAACAATTGCTCAATATACCTCCAACCCCTCCCCTCTGCATCAACAATAAGCTTCAAGTGGTAGCGCAACCTATCAATAGCCTTATTGAGAGATTTCTGATTTCAGCACTTTAGGATTCTGTTTCAGCTCATCAATGCTGTTTATTGGATGCTTTTGATTGTACCATTTCCTCAAGATGGCTCCATGTATGGTATTCAAACACATTAGCATCAGGACTGTTGGGTGGCCAAGCACCAAGATCCATCAAATTGACACCTTGTTTGCAAAGAAATGCCAATATCTCCTTTGATCTATGGTACAAGGCAATGTCTTGGAAAATAAAATCCTCGTCACAAATACATTTAATGCCTTTTAACAGACCCTCTTTGAGTACTTATTGATAATAAACAACACTAAAATTCATAAACAATAAGTTTAGTCACACAATATGCAAATATACAAGCATGTACTCACCTAACAAAATGATAATCTATAAATAAAAAATTAACATTATTCCGCAGATTTACTATTTTCTCCCTAAAATCTGGATACCTTAAATACCGACCCGGCCTCCCAAATAAGCATAATAAAACTTTAATATTGATTTCATGACATAGTGTTATATACCAAATTGTTTGAAAATGGATTACCTTTAAAATGATATATAAATCAATGTATCATATTGAACATAGCTATTTTCATTCTGATTTAAAGTTGGGTATTGGTTTTTTTTGGCCCACCCTGTATAATTCATCATAAACTAAGATTTAATAAACTAAGATCTTTAAAATCGAACCCTTCAATGACTGTATCATGTCCCACGTACGTGGGTAGGTGGGTATGAGGTAGGAGGTTTTTATACAAAGCCTATCTAAAACATCTTACTTTCTGTGCGAAGTACTTCTGGGGCCATGTAATTTGGTGTACCAGCATATCTGTGCCTCTCTTCTGGTTCTAAGACACAACTTGTACCAAAGTCAAACACGTAAACTCCTGTCGCATCATCTACACGGACAATTCCAATATTCTCAGCTAAAAGCATCAAATTAAATGTTTATTACAATGTACAATTTGACTGACAGCATTTTGTTTCAGCAACAGATTAATTTGATTTTAATGTAGCCTGCAAATTCAAATGAATGAATACAAAAAAACAATTGGAACACTCAACTCCACGGAGTAGCAAATTCCACTGAACAAAACAAGTTTTGATTAATACTTCTTGAACAGAGCTCCATTGTTCCTACTAAGTATCAGTATGTATAAAATTCAAACCAAATCCATCCACTGGTATTTTGAGTATGAAAGATTATGTTATTTTACAAAAAATGATGGCCATTTTGAAATTTGTTAGCCATCTTAAAAATATCTTTGTTCGGTTGGGTAATAAATTCTATCAGGTAACGCTTCAAAAGAAAGCAATTAACTTCAACCGTCACCAGCTAGGGATCGATCGAAGGCAAAAGTTCTGCAAACAACTCACGTTTGAGATCCTTGTGACATATATGCACACTATGCCAGTATCTAAGTGCCTCTAGTACTTCTAATAAGACTGCCATGGCTTCAATCTCATTGAAAGTTCCTCCGGGGGATCGTATCATGACATCCCATAGTGAACCAACTATAAAATACATATACTTGTATACACCAAGTGGGGGTGTCTTTTTCATATTGTATATAAAATATTGTAAGATGGAATTTGAATCTAATAAATTGAATTGAACTTAAAATGTTGACATAAACAGAGGCACATAACATTGAATTACAAGTCTCGGATATACATTGTACATCGTCCCAGTTAATCAGTAAGTTCATGCAAATATGTCTTTTGCGGAATATTTACAATATTCTTGAAAATTACTGTAATTTTGTAAAGTTACTGTTGTGAGCGCACAGTTCCAATAAGCATATATGTGACTTTTATGTTGAATATGGTTTCAAGAAAACAAAGTTTAATGCATAAGTTTTGATTACTTAGATGTGCAAGATATCGATTGATGATTATATTTAATGCAGTGAAAGAAATACATGAGCTGTAGAGTATGTTAACCTTAGTGGTAATAACTTAAAAGATATATAGCGATATTTTTTCTAAATATTTTGTATGTGTGCTTATTGGAATCTCTCAATATCTTAAATTTCAATTTGGAACCACACTGTGCGCTCATTAGAGAGAATATGGTAGTCAAGAAATGAATTAGTTAAACATACCATTGGCATATTGTTGGAAAATGTATATGTACTCATCATGGCAAATTGAACCTAAAAGACCTGCCATATTTTTGTGCGGAAACCATAAAGGAATCAATATTTCATTGCATATGGTGTCATCGGCTGAAATCAGTCTGATCTGAAAAAATAGACTCAAAAATAAGTCCTCTCCCCTTCATAATAGTGATTTCCAAAATATACCATGGGACTTTTTAAAGGAATTCTAGGTGATAAAAATAACAAAATATTGCTTCTGGGACAACTTTTACATATTGTGACAAAATTGTGAGTTTCATTTTTGTTTTATTTTGAACTTTTATATGTGGAGTCAGTCGACTCTTTCAGAGAGTTTAATGGCTCAAATGTGTACATGCAGAATGTCACGTAGGCACTGGGTTGTTTACAGGATCAGCAGACTGAAGTGGAATAAATTAGAATAATAAGTACCCAGCAACCGGTGATCAGCCAATCAGATTCTTTTATTTGAATTTCCCTCCAACTTAAGTTGTAGTTTTCCCATGATGCAACTTGAGGTGTCTGGATTTTATTGTTTGCAATTAACCACGTGAATCAGAGTAAACCAAGATCTTGAAGATACAACACCTCGTCAGTTTGGATTTATTTATGTGCAAGCGTGTTTTATTTAATCTGTGGACTTATTGGAGCATTATTTTGGATATATTGGATTAGTTGCAGTAATCGTTAGATGCAGATTGTATTTGGTGCGACTATTGAAGAAAATACAAGACAACAGCCAGTGTTTTGGTGAGTTAGCCATTTTCTTGATTGAGGTTGGCATAAAATGGGTAATTAGCTGTCCGCCATCTTGCTTTCTTGTTCCCACAATTCCCGGCGGTCGGCCATCTTTGATTTTGAAGGAAGTGACGTCATTTTGAGAAGTTTTGAGCTCCAGATTCTCTGAGTAGATTTGGCTCTGTCTAATCTCATTTCTTTGATCGATATTCGTGAGTCATTCTGCTCTGAGTATTGGTGGCTCCTAGTCATTACCCCTCCAAGCTATAAATGCCCCTACTTTGTCGAGGCGATCTGACTGTCACCCAGGGTTGTATGTTGAGGAAGGTTTACTCTCATCGGAGCCAAGGTTACATTACCGGAACTGAGGTGCTCCAAGGCGAGAGATAACAGCTCTGTCTAATCTCATCCTTTGATCGACATTCTAGAGTTGTTATTCTCTACAGGGGTTGTAGTGAGGTTGCTCCTGCGAAGCGGTGACTCCGAGAGCAGAGGTTACTCTTTGGAGACAGTGTAGCTCATTGAGTGAGAGCACTCTTAGAGTAGAGGTTACTCTTTGGAGACAGTGTAGCTCATTGAGTGAGAGCACTCTTTGAGTAGAAGTTACTCTTTGGAGACAGTATAGCTCATTGAGTGAGAGCACTCTTTGAGTAGAGGTTACTCCTGAAACGAGGCGATCCCCGGGGCTGAGGTACTAGCAGTGTGTGGATCTCGTTCAAGAGTAGAGGTTACTCCTGAGACGAGGCGATTCCCGGAGCTGAGGTATTCCCAGTGTGTGGATCTCGTTCGAGAGCAGAGGTTTCTCCTGAGAAGTGACGACTCCAAGAGCAGAGGATACTCCCGGAGCCTGGACCCCTTCCAAGAGACAGTGTAGCTCAAGAGTGAATTGAGCAGAGGTTGTAGAGAGGTATATCCTGAGAAGTGGTGACTCCAAGAGCAGAGGTTATTCCCGGAGCCTGGACCCCTTCCAAGAGACAGTGTAGCTCATAGAGTGAAAGCACTCTTTTGAGGAGAGTTTAAAGGTGGTTACTCCCGTGACAAGGCGACTCCCGAAGCAGAGGTTACTTCCGGAGCCAGGGCTCCTTCCCAAAGACGAGATAGCTCAAGAGGGAGAGCTCTTTTCAAGCAGAGCAGAGCAGAGTAGACAAGCAGAGTATTGCAGAGAGCAGAGCCGAGTACATTAGAGAGCAGAGCAGACAAGCAGAGCAGAGAGCAGAGTATGGCAGAGTAGCGTAGAGACAGACGAACTCAGAGCCAGAGTGTTTTTCGACTCATGCTTATATATAGAGACATTATTGTATTACTGGCCATAAAGGCATTTGAGGACATTTTGAAATTGATTGTTATAGTAATTGTAGTGTTGAATAGATTGTTAAAATCCCGTAATTGATTGTTTTTTACATTGTGTTTTCCATCTCCTAGCTCAGTGACAGCTGAAGCACCAAACCAGCTCGGCGCCCGTGATAAACACCTCCGAATCCCTTATCATCGCCACCAGACCTTCTCCGAGGGAGTACGGGTACTCGGCGGGAGTCTGGCGCGCGACAATATTCTTTACCCCACCTATTTTGTATTTTAACAATCAACACAAGTATACATACCATATTCCAGCAGATATCGGATAAATTCATAAAAACATTTTTTGATTGATAAAATCATTGATTGTAAAACTGGAAGTGCGTTCTGTGACGTCCGCGTGTGAATATTTCAATTATTCAGATTTTGTTGTGGATGTGATTTTAAATGCTTCTAACTGATCTTCTAATGTTCACTATGATTAATATTAGTAATGTCTTGACTTCCCTGCTTCATAAAACAGAACATTATCACCATTTACTCAACTCGAAAATTCACTTCCGGTCTGTCGAAATAAAGATGAGCTGATACATGTAGTTGTTGTGAACACCTTTCAATCCTTATTTTGGCGGCTGTATGTTACAGTCTGCCTTTAAGTCACATTGATTTTGTTACATTTGAGTTATTCATCAAATATCTTTTATCACATTGATGATGAATGATAACTGCATCATATATTTGTGTTAGAGTTACAGTTGGGGACAAAAATAAATGACAGGTCGATTTTCGATCACCATTTCCTAATTATGGTGGTCTGAAAGCCCATAATTTCCATTATTGTCTAGATACATATCCCTTAAAATTTGTATATTTTACATTTTGTATAATCTCATCCACTGATTTATGGCCTCTTGTAAATTCTCTTATTTTTAACATGGGAAATCCTCACTTCAGCAAATCCACCTGTCATTTATTTATGTCCCCAACTGTATGAAACATACAGCCTTACCACAAAAGTTTATTCTAGTAATAATATTTTATTTGTTGTTTTGAGAAATTCATGTCACATTCAGTATATATAAAATATGGGTTCTGACATAAACTCTGTAGGTCCACAATCAGGAAGTCAGTTTCATCCAAAATGGTAGACAAAAATCATCCAATATTGATGTAAGCTAATACAGTTCAGATACAAATGGATGCCAATTCATCGCCTCTTTAATTAGGTTCATCATTACCAAAAATTTAAATATGAGTTAGTCTTTTCTAGAGCAAAACCATTTTCTTTCAATTTCATTCTACATTTCTAATAAACTTTATTCATTGGGATAATAATCTGGGGGGGGGGGCATTTACAGAAACTATATATATATGATATCATTACATTATGTCCATGGTTACGACAATTGATTAACAAATTTGTAACTTCACTTTAACTTTACGTTTCTATTAATGATCCCCTGATAACTAATGGGATCCATTTAAACAAACCTTCTTCATGATAAACTGATGATTAGTTGAGGTATCTGTCACTGGGTATGTGATTCCATGGCCTCCACTATGCTTTTCACCTTCAGCTTTCGCAAACTCAGCACCTTCACTATATTGCATTTTGTTTGTTTCACTTTTATACTTTGGCACCAAATACTAAATAAGCATAAAGTATAATAATTAATACATCATATATACTTAGGTATCACAATACCAGATTAGTCCTCCTATTATAATACTTTTTGAAAATGCAGCTTTCTTCGCGAAAGAAATCGTCATTGACCCCCTCCCATCAACAAAATTGACTTCACTCTTCCTTCCATCTAACTGTTAACAACTGGACATTATCCATAGATCAATAGATTTTAACGCTAAGACTAAGAGAGTAATATCTTTAAATTTCTAGATAACCACATTAGAAAAGAACATGGCAAAATGAAATCATATATTTAAAAAAGATATGTTTACCTTATGTACTAGAATCCCTTCACTATATGAGTGAGAGCACTGAAGGGGATTGTGATATCTATCTATTTTTGTCTTTAAATGTCTGCAATATTCTTCCATGGCTTCTATAGTTCCGTACACCACATTCTGCTGAATGAACCCAGAGCTTGGCCATTCATGGCTGAAGTGTTTAAATGCCTAAAAGATGAAAAGAACATGAAGAATTATGAAAGATACCCTTTTCAAACGACAATTAAAATTTATTTAAAGTTGGTACTCTCATAACCACGTACCTTGATGTTAGCACCAGGATCCCCAGAGGCTCCTACATTTAAATCTGTAGGTCTCATTGCCTTCCCATGACATTGGCAAACATCATCTACAACATCATCTGCCATAACGTCACCCATATTCACATCAGCCGTTACCTGGTCTTTATTGTTATCACTGGATATGCTTCTTGTTGTTTCCACTGCTTCACTATTATCATTAGTAGTAACCATGTTAGCGTTGACATTATCTATGTTAACCATCTCATCATCTGCAATGTTCTCATTAAGTTCAACAATTGAAGCATTTCTATTTGCTTCACTGTCATTATTTTCAAGTCTTCCCTCCAAGTCTTCAAATGTGTCTCTATGCTTACACTCTCCATCTCCACCACGTTGAGAGTCTAATCGTAATTTATTGAGATTTTCAGCAGTTCTGTTGATAGCTGAATTTTTGCTTATCTCAGACATCAGTAATCCATGGATCTGCCCTGAAATGCCAATCCAAAATGAGAACCCTACATGTTAGCGACACACATGTACAATGAACTTATATAAAACTTTTGTATATTTTAGATGATTAGATTTATGGGTAGTAAACTTTTGGTGTTCAGGGAGTTTCAGACTTCATTGAACCTTTATCCTATTGCCATTCATGTATGTCATGCCATATCATCATATTGCTCATACATCAGAATACATTTTTTGTTCTGAAAAGTATGGTGGTTCAAGGTTCTCTAATATGCAGAGGAGGTCAGATAGAGCTACATGTATACTTACATAACTACAGTCAGTACAGTTCTATGTCTGGTATAAGAAATGGTATATAATATGTAATGGTAAAGGTATAGTCTAATAAAAAATGTTGATGATCCATTACTTCTGTACACAGAGCTGTCAAGTGTCCCGCGAATGGCGGGATTATCCAACGAATTTGATCAAAATTAGGCTAATTTGCATGTCCTGCAATGTCCAGCGAAGTCCCACAAATGTCGGCTTTGACCTCCGCAAATTTCCAAAATTGTTGCAATCCCCTATTGGCTAAATTGTGATTATCTTGTGATATTAAGCTAAGTTTTTTGTACTTTTGAGTAAAGTTTACCTAATTTTAAAAGTTAATTACGAAAATAGGGATGTACTTTACAAATAGTTCCAACGTTGGCGTTTTTACTACGCGTTTGACCTTCATTTCAGAACAGAGCAAATGTTAGCAAACGCGAGTTACAATAAATGAATGCTGATATCTCGAAAAGTAACCTGACTCCCTACAATTTGATGTAGATTAATCGAACCCCTATATGAATAGGTACATTTTAATATAAACACTATGGGGGTAAGCGTTTCATAGTTGGTCATGAACGCCATAAGTGCAAAGTATTGTTCAGAAATTTTGAATTTCTAGTTGTATTACGGTACTCACACCTGAAGCACGGTTTTTGTTTTTGATAAATTACAATAAAGTTTGCCTATTGTGTGAAATTCAGGCCTGTCAACTTTGGAACACCTAACATGAGTGACTTGGAAATGTTGAACACCTCCCCTCAAAATGTGGACACCTTGGTCCAAATCTGAACACCTTGATCCAAATTTTGAACACCTTGGTTTAAATTTTATTACATTTTCCCAATTTTGAACACCTCAAATTTTTCGCGCTCGATACGCTCGCTTTTCAAACATACATCAACGGGGGGGGGGGGGGGGGGGGGGGGTAGGTACGAAAAAATTCGAACGGAATGCGTGACATATACGTAATTCGCGTGAGAAGTCCTAACGAAATGCGTACATTTTTTCCCGGCGTTCGTATTTTTGCTGTGTAGACGATCTTTATTAGAAATTTTTCTACAGAAATATTTTTGCTTGACAATTACCAGGTAAAATGCGTATTTGCGTGACATTTTCTGTCACGCAAAAATAACTGGCGTGACTTCAAATTCTTCAGCAAATGCGTGACAAATACTCAAATTGCGGGACAGTTGACAGGCCTGGAAATTGTGTTGACGTTTATTTAAGTTAAGTGCATTATATTTGATTAATCAGCATCTGAAAGTTTGATTTGAGTACTTTTACATTAAGTTCCAATCACGCAAATCCCTAGAATGTCCAGTGACATCCTGCAAATTTAAGTGGATGTCCCGCGAAATCCTGCCAATTTAGGGCACTTTGTCTAAAAAGTCTGTCCCTCTATGAATTCTTTGGTGAATTCCTCGAATTTGATCAAAATTTGGCCTATTATAGCAATCACGCAAATCCCTTAAATGTCCCTCAAATTTAGGTGGATGTCCCGCAAAATCCTGCAAACTTTGGGCACTGGGTCTAAAAAATATGTCCCGCGAGAAAATCATAGTCTTCGACTAGTGCCAAAAACACTATACTACTGAAACACATCTCTTGTGAATTTACATGTTCTTGACAAAAACATGATATATATCGAACAGAATGTTCAGATTTTATTTTAAATACGAAATCTTTGTATAATTCAGATAAATCTTATGTACGCATGGTAGACCCATGGGCTTTCATGGTAGACCTAAACCAGTGACCTCTTGTAATTAAAGGACCACATATGAGCTAAACCACTAAGCGACCCCAGGGCACATTGGGAAGCGGCCTATGATATACAAATTTGTAGTCCTAGAGGAATACACTACAATGGACAACACTTGAAACGAGGAGACAGCAACAACGTTTGACGATGATGTATAAGATCAAACAACAACTTGTTGCAATCCCATCAGACACATACCTCATACCTCTCCTGCGCAGATCAAGGACTACAAATAGTGAGAGCTTCCAGAGGTACAGTTGCAGGAAGGATGCAATGCTCCATTCCTTTTTCCCACGCACCATACCTGATTGGAACATACTACCTGACAGCATTGTATCGGCAGAGAGCTTAGACCAGTTCAAGACTCACTACCTTACACCCATGCCTTAATCTCATACTGTCTTTTAACCTATTATTTTAACTTTTTATTCCCTTCTAAACACTGTTTTTAGCTCATGAACTTGTTGTTGATGTGAGACCCTATCTGTTGCAAGACTAACGCCTGGCGTAACCGTCACCATGTTATTCAGTGTTTTTAAGTAGCGCAAGGATCCTGCCATGACCGTGGTAATGTTATCGTGAAAGCCTGGTATAGCCGCGACAATGCTGTATTAAATTGCAATGCCTGCCATGACCGTGACAATGTAATATAGTTCTGCAAGGCTTGGCATGACCGTGACAATGTAATATAGTACTGCAAGGCCTGGCATGACCGTGACAATGTAATATACTGTAGTACTGCAAGGCCTGGCATGACCGCGACAATGTTATATAGTTCTGCAAGGCCTGGCATGACCGTGACAATGTAGTATAGTATTGCAAGTTCAGGTAAGAGAGTGGTAATGTAGAAATTTACGATTAGGACTGCTATAACCGTGACACTGTGTATTGCAAAGCCTGGCATGACCGTGGCAATGTAATATAGTACTGCAAGGCCTGGCATGGCCGTGACAATGTAATATAGTATTGCAAGGCTTGGCATAGCCGTAGGCAGCGGGGGTTCGGTGGGTTCGAACGAACCCCCGGTCACGATTTCCCAAAATATTATTTTGCGGAAAAATCATAGCAATAACCAGATGCATTAAATTACTTTGCAATTTGAGAACTACATATATGACCAGTAAATGAATTGATATTTGTTGTCGTGAACACCAGAGCCTTATTTTGTTAAAAACATGTCACAGTGAAGTTACTCTTCTCTCAAGAAGTTTGGCAAACTTAGGCATGGGGTGAGATCGTTTAATTTTGGGAAGATCCAATAGCATGAGATTTTACATTTAGAAATAACAATAATTTCGCACAATTATTAAAAGCTGCTTCTTCTCGGACAAAATAAATCATCTTGGGCAATGGCTAAATCAGTCTTTTGTAGGAATTTTTTTAAGCCAGTTTATGTCCAATACGAAGTTAATGAAAGTTATTGAAAACAAAGCAGAAGTCGCATACTCCGAAACATTTACACGAATGAAATCTGGAATAGTCGTGATATTGATGAAACACATGTTCTCTCTGTTTTGTTTTATTTCAATTAAAATTCGAAATATTTCGTCCATGGGGCTGGCAAATCCTCTAAACCAAATCAATTGCGTTAAATAATAAAAACGTTGTGAAATGAGTTATTTAAAAGCATTTATAAACACAAGCATTTGTTCAAACGAGTATTTATTACCCATCCCCTTTTTTAAGGAAAAATGAATCCATTGCAAAAAAAGTTTTGTTTTTTCAGATACACTCCACTCATCTTAGAGATTATATAATGTTTATATTGTTATCGTTTTAGTGTACTTGCTCTCCATTTTCACGAAAATCAAACGTTGGTGGATCATGTTAATGTCATTCATGATTTGTTTAGCGAATAAATTACATAATAAAAAACAATAAAAATCATAATAAAAATTATATGGTATTAATATTCAAAATGGAGGCCTATTTTGTTATCAAGCCGTCTGAACTTAACAAAATATGTATCACATTCGAACAGTCGCTTGTATTTATAAATGATCTATATGCCTCAAAACGTTTTTATTATCAATTGCAGTTGATTTGGTCCGGGGGACTTACCAGCTCCGGGGACTTTCAAAGAAATATTTATAACTTTTTTTAAAACAAAGCATAACTGAGACTCACTTATTGAAATAACAGGTGTTTTCATCAGTAATACGACTATCCAGGATAGTTTAAAAAGCCTTCGTGTAAACGTTGTGAAAAGCTATCATAGAAGAACGATCTTTCAGAGTAGAGGGTGTCTGCCAAATTTTCAATAACTAAGTGCATTTGATCCGAACTGGCTTCCAACAATATTCCTCCTGCAAAATAATGTTATTTCGATGGGAGCGGTTTCTTGATAAAGTCTATTACTTTCAGACTGTTTAACGTAGAGACATCATTTTTGTTAAATAAAATTCAAATTGTCTACATAACTTAATGAAGGTATCAAAATAATGTCATTTTATATTTGCACTCCCAAAGTAGTTTTTTGTTTACAAATTATGCAAATAAGAATTCAAACTAAGGATGCTTTAACACATAATCTAATGGGTTGGTTGGGATTGCCAAACTTTTGTAGGGAGTGTAAATTGTACAAATTGCACAAAAATGTTTTTATTTGAGGAACCCCAGTGAAGGGGGGGGATTTGTGAATAACATAAAAATAGAACCCCTGGTCACCAAATCCTGGCTACGCCACTGCTTGGTATGACCGCCGTGGCAATGTGATATAGTATTCCAAGTTCGGGTATGAGAGTGGTAATGTAGAAATTTATGATTGCTATAAGTGACCGTGACAATGTGTATTTCAAAACCTGGCATGACCGTGACAATGTACTATGGGATCGCAAAGCCTGGTATGACCGTGACAAATATAGTATTGCAAGGCCAGGTATGAGGGTGGTAATGTAGAAAATTCGGCTTAGTCCTACTATGACCGTTATAATGTATTGCAATGACTCTTAAATATGTATGACATTAATGCCAGGAATATCCTTAAACAATTTTAAGTGATTGTCATTACAATTAAGCAGTTTAATACTATGATCATGGTGTTTAACTACCTTAATCATGTCAAAATCAAAATTACTACTATACATTAATATTCACATTCGCTTATAAACCACAATAAAGGCTACGGTCGTGCCAGGCTTCCACGATAACACTTCCAGGGTCATGACAGGCCTTGCAATATTATACAGCATTGTCACGGTTATACCAGGCTTACACGATAACACTACCACGGTCATGGCAGGATCCTTGCGATACTTAAAAACACTGATTAACATGGCGACGGTTGTGGCAGGCGTAAGTCTTGCAATAGATAGCATGTGGTTGATGTTCATGTTTTACTTTCTCGTACTAACCCGCCATATAATGATCAGTAAAATTGATCAACTGTGTATTCAAATGATGATGATGATGATGAATACAAGATACACAAAGTGACCACTATCAATCTTCATTATTCCTTATTTATTAAACTGAAGTAACAGATACGAGCCGAGAATTAGACCTCTGTGGTCCCTAGAGTGAGTGAACAACGAAAAAATTGCCAGAAAATCGTGAAGTCCTAGTCTGACTAGTCCTGGCTAGGGGATGTCTAGTAAAAGTTTTATAAGCTAAAATATATGTTCAAATCTATACTCACACTTTTATAGAAGTACCAAGTCATGAGATGTGATTAAATTTGTATAGAAAGTACGATTCGAAGAGAAGTTCACAGAGTTTTGCAGGTGGGGAATCCCCAAACTAAAGAATGCGCCAAATATGCGAACGATTACAACAGGTCGTGATCCGTGACTGTGATACATATCATCCCGGGTAGGCATCCTCCTAAGCAGGTATCCAGAATCCTTATCTCCTTCTTCCGTAAAAAGAAAGAATATATTCTGGATTTTGAAGCCCTGTGATCGGAGGATGCGGGTAGGGGACTGTATGTAAACCTTGACGGGGATCCAATTTTAAATACAGTGTATCCGCCCAGGTACATACAACACTGAATCAAAGTCTATGCAATCCTCCGAACACGCGGCCTCCAGAACTCGTACCTCCTTCTTCCAAGAAGGAACTTTGTGGATGATGTCTGGAACCCTGCAATCGGAGGATGAGTCTATGCCTCCATGTATGTCTATGTCAATAATCTGCAAAGGCTACTTACCCATATCAGACGCGTATCGTCATGTACGCAAAATACGCCCAGGCGTACTGTTTGAATTTGAAAAAATATTTTGAAAAAATATTTTGAAAAAACATGAAATTCAGTATTTTACTGTTATTTTCTTTGATGATGTGTAAACCTTTGTCGTACAAGTGTATTAACAATAAGTTCTCGATTCCCTCATTGCCATTCACTGTTTTCGTGATTCAAAGATTCAAATTTTTTCGTGATTCAGAGTTGCGTCATTCTTGTACGTTCGTGCTGCCATCTTTATATCGACCCAGAACCTATGGTAGGTCTGCACGAAAAATCATATGCCAAAAATCGCATTCATCTTCACACATTATTCATCCACATACGGGGGCGTACCCTTGCAAAATGACCACGATACGCGCCTGCATATAAACCAGAAGCACTCGTTGCCATAAGTCGCGCCCTCAAAACCCGGGTTTGCCATCATCCAAACCCGCCTTTGCAAAAAAACGAACGGTGCATTATTTGACTCGTTCGTGTTATTTTCGATACTTTTCAAACCAGAATTTTCATTGTTTTTATTAGAAGGGTTCCTCGTAATTAACTCTTAACTATGGATATGTTGACTTAACTACAACGGACTTTTAACGAGATGTTTTGCGCATAGGGTTATAAAGTGTCTTGTATGATGCGCCCTCAAAACCCGGGTTTGCCGTCATCCAAATCCGCCTATGCAAAAATGTGAACGGTTAATAATTAGTGTCATTCGTGTTATTTTCGGGAGTTTTCAAACCTGGATTTAATTGCTTTTATTTGAAGATCCTTGTTATCAATTGTAATATTGTAAGATTTTGGCCCAGACTGACACAACAGAAATTGTCAACACTGGAGGATGGTAATAGCTCGTAATTGTATTTAAATCAAATATTATCCATATTTATGAATAAAAATAGTATAGTATGTCAAGTTCCTCATCTCTACTGGTCACTTTTCCTTGCTTTAGTAGCCGTTGACCTGATACATTATCTTAGTCAAAATAGAGAACGAACGAATATAAGGGGTCTTCTAGCTTTGCACATTTTAGACCAATCATAATACATAACTTTTTCTAATATGTTTAACGTCTTGGTAGATAAAAAATAACACGTATAAAATTCTAATAAAACGAACTTTTATATTTCGTGGCCTCATTAAACACTTATTTCGTTTGGAATGGCCTTAAACACTGGTCCGCGAAACACACATTTAAATAAGGGATTGGCGCACCCGGGTCTGACTGTAAACCTCCTGTTCACTGTCGTATGAATTATGAATGTAGTTTCGCACAGTTGTCAACGGAAACAAACAGTGAACCCTGCTTTCCCGAACCCGGGTTTCCAGGATTCGCCTTGCATGCCTTCGACTCTTTCTCATATAAACAGGGGGGATCTGGGAACCAACAAGGGGGGGGGGTCAAATTTCAGATCAGAGAAAAAAACTTCCGGGCCCCTAAAACCTCGAAATGGGCCCGAATTTAGAAATTTTGAGGCCCATTTTCTTCAAAATTTGGCCTGAATTTAAATATAACCTTAAAAGGCCCTGTAATGACCAATAGGCCCACTTTTTGGGGCCTTAAAGCCTTTTTGGCCAAACATTTTTTGGCCCAATTTTTTTTCTGGGCCGACCCAAGGGGGGGGGGGCGGCCAGGCCCCCAGCCAGACATTTTTATCACAAACGTGTACCAGTATCATATGTTTGAGAAAATGTACATAGTTCAGAAGACAACAGAACCGTCGATTTAATTCCCCACTTTAATTACACGAACGGTATTTCGAAAAGCAGTTAAGATCTGCTCTTTAAACCGAAACCGTTTATGTAACTTAGCCTAAGTGAGGAATTAAATCGACGATTCTGTTGTCTTCTGAGCTATTTTTTTCGCAAACATGTACATTTTCTAAAACATAGATTTATGAACTTTATTACACATGCATACCCATAAAGGGTTATACAAACACAACAGAAAACAGTAAGCTATATACAGTGCGTATCAAAAAAAAACGCAACAGATTGTTATCTTGGAAAAGCACAAAACCAGTGATAACAGCATTGATTTCATTCATTGCACCATAAAGCCATGTGTCTCCTCTTGAATGATATATCATTCATTGATATTTGGTCATGGTTGAGTGAGTAATCATTCCATTTGCAAAGTGGAGTAAATTAGCTTCTGGCCAAGTTATAAACATTGCAAAAGTCAGTGTACGGAGACCGATGCAATATTTGTATTGGACGAAAACATAAAACCAATGCTGACTGCATCCTTTTAATTCAATGTACCAAAAAGCCAAATTACTCCTCTTTGCAATGGAATATCATTCATTCACAGGGAGTCATCTCTGGCCGAATAATCATTAATTTTGCAAAGTGGGGCAAAATTCAGCTCGTACCCAAGTTTAAAACATTGCAAAAGTCAGTACAAGGGGCATAGGGGCTATTGGAAGAAGGTGTGACAAGTATGGCATAGACAGTTAAGTGTTCATACTCATACTCTTGCAAGGCGGAATACATTCTATACCCCTCCAAATTGCCACCACTTCCTTGCACATAAAGATCGATGCGCTCATCTGTCCACGCCATGCATGGTTCAGCCCTGAATCATGTGTGGGTTAAAGCAGCCCATGGGCAAATATTTCTCGAGGTTTTGCAATATCTGGTGGAGGAATTGTGAGCACAGATGCTCCTGAGATAGCTCCAAAAGAAAAAGTCACAACAATTCAAGTCAGGGGAACTTCCAATGACACTACTTAGCCCTTGCACTGATTTTTTCAATATCTAAAACTTGGCGCAGAGCCGATTTTGACCCACTGTGCAAATGGAAGGATTTCTCACCCAACCATTACCACATGTGAATGAATGACATATCATTGCAAAGAGAGACATGGCTTTATGGAAACCGAAACCGTTTATGTAACTTAGCCTAAGTGAGGAATTAAATCGACGATTCTGTTGTCTTCTGAGCTATTTTTTTCGCAAACATGTACATTTTCTAAAACATAGATTTATGAACTTTATTACACATGCATACCCATAAAGGGTTATACAAACACAACAGAAAACAGTAAGCTATATACAGTGCGTATCAAAAAAAACGCAACAGATTGTTATCTTGGAAAAGCACAAAACCAGTGATAACAGCATTGATTTCATTCATTGCACCATAAAGCCATGTGTCTCCTCTTGAATGATATATCATTCATTGATATTTGGTCATGGTTGAGTGAGTAATCATTCCATTTGCAAAGTGGAGTAAATTAGCTTCTGGCCAAGTTATAAACATTGCAAAAGTCAGTGTACGGAGACCGATGCAATATTTGTATTGGACGAAAACATAAAACCAATGCTGACTGCATCCTTTTAATTCAATGTACCAAAAAGCCAAATTACTCCTCTTTGCAATGGAATATCATTCATTCACAGGGAGTCATCTCTGGCCGAATAATCATTAATTTTGCAAAGTGGGGCAAAATTCAGCTCGTACCCAAGTTTAAAACATTGCAAAAGTCAGTACAAGGGGCATAGGGGCTATTGGAAGAAGGTGTGACAAGTATGGCATAGACAGTTAAGTGTTCATACTCATACTCTTGCAAGGCGGAATACATTCTATACCCCTCCAAATTGCCACCACTTCCTTGCACATAAAGATCGATGCGCTCATCTGTCCACGCCATGCATGGTTCAGCCCTGAATCATGTGTGGGTTAAAGCAGCCCATGGGCAAATCTTTCTCGAGGTTTTGCAATATCTGGTGGAGGAATTGTGAGCACAGATGCTCCTGAGATAGCTCCAAAAGAAAAAGTCACAACAATTCAAGTCAGGGGAACTTCCAATGACACTACTTAGCCCTTGCACTGATTTTTTCAATATCTAAAACTTGGCGCAGAGCCGATTTTGACCCACTGTGCAAATGGAAGGATTTCTCACCCAACCATTACCACATGTGAATGAATGACATATCATTGCAAAGAGAGACATGGCTTTATGGTACATTAAATGAAATTGATGTAGTCATCACTAGTCTTGTGATTTTACGAGATAACTACTTGTTGCGTTTTTTTGATACGCCCTGTATAACAACACACACAATTAATACTTCATAATAAATAAATAAGTAAACAAATGAACAAATAAATGTGTATCAAGGATGAGCGCATGAATGGTGATTGTGATACGCGTCCATTGTTTATGTCATATATCACACCCTTCTATGTTATATTACATTTATGAATAAATTCTGCTACAATTTCAATTTCTTTATTTTCACAAGACATACAATATTGCATGGAAAAAGGGGAATCGTCCTCCATGTTGAAAAGGTGTTTAATTGGTTTGCCGTGGGATTCAAGTTAATCGAGCATTTGCTTTCTATATATACGGTAAAGATTAAAAGGTGGATTGGATCGAGTGGATTGGATTCATGTAAAAGGTGGATTGGATCGGGAATCTTCAAAATATGGATTTTCCTTAAAAAATCTATTGATCTCCCTCTAAGAAGATGGGTCCTCTCTTCACTTCCATAATGTCAAATAAAAGATGTAATATTATTTTGCTTGGATGGTCTACAAGGGTGATA